AAAACTAAGGGATTTTCGATTTTTTTTTCACCAATTTTTTCAATATAAAAGCATTCCGGGCTAAACCCGGCGATATGCTTTTTTTCTTTTTCTAGTAAATCAAGCGGAATAAGAGTTGGCAAAAGAACATTTTGAACGCCCCGAGCAGCAAATTTTTTATCCAAGACGCTTTGGATATTTTTCCACAGGGCATAACCAGCAGGAGGCAAGATAAAACTTCCTTTGGTTGTTCCATAAAAAAATAATCCTCCTTCTCTGAGTAATTTGCTATACTTATCCTCTTTTTCCATAAAATTTAAGTTTTGTTTTTCTAGTTATCCTCTCTTTCATAGGGGTTCTTGCGAGGAATATTGTATTTGTTACGTGCATTATTTTCTCGGTCATCAACTCGATTTTGGAGAATTTTCCGCAAATCTTCTTTGAAAATCTGAGAATCAAGCATAATTTTAGAATCATTTTCCTTAACTTTAATTGCCAAAGTCTCCGTAATTGCCTTTTGTAAGTCTCGGAAAGAAAAACCTTCTTTTTTAGGTCTAAATTCGGTTTGGATTTCTTGAACGGATTGATAAACATTAGTTCAAAAATTACTGTTTCATTCCACTTTTCATTTTTTTTCTTTTCAATTAGCTTCCATTACTTTTTGAAGGTAGTCCACCATTTTTTTGGTTTCTTCCTTAGTGGGATAGTTAACGTAAATTCGACGACCTAACCGACCAGGTCGCACCAAACCTTCATTTAGGACTTCCGGGTTATTAGTAGTGCCAATTACAATAATGTTTAAGTTTTCGCGATTTATTTCGTCAAAAATCTTTAACAAACCGTCTACTTCGACTTTCGATGAACTATTGACGCCAGTAAGGTCTTTGGTTCCCACTGAGTCAATTTCCTCAATAATAATTGCGATTGGTTTAGTTTCTCCCAGAGCCTCGTTTAATTTCAATAATTCTTTCGCCTCTTTGAAAACTTTTTGTTGTTTTTCAATACTGGAACCAACTCAGATTTGCGATTCGAAATGAGCGAAAACAAAACCGGAAGTTTCGTTATGACCAAACTCTTCGGCGAAAAAACTTTTTCCGGTGCCGGGTGGACCACAAAATAGAACATGCTTATCAAGTTCTTGTTTTCTGCTTAGATACTTTGGCAAAAGTTTAAAACAATTAATTCATATTTTTACTTCTCGATTGGCATCTTTTTGAACGATTAATTCGTCCACCCAATTCTTATTTTGCCGAGTTGGGTCAGGCTTCACAAATGTGCTGGTTTGCCCACGAACATCATCATTGTTGCCTCCACCTTTTCTACCTGTTCTTATCTCTTCAAGGGTAATCATTCTTTTCAAACAGGAGAGCAAGTCAGGGTGAATTGTTGCGTTGATTGCTATCTTTCTAGTTCTCCTAATCTCATTACTGGTACTGTAATTAACAGTGAAAATAAGCAATGAACTGAGAAGAAAACTCCCGAAAATTAAATAATGAAGTTCATATTTTTTTCAGTGACTTTTTTCCTGAGGTGGTATATTGTTTTCCTTTCCCGGTTGGTTAACATTAATGTCTAGATTCATATTTTATTATTTATATTATTAGTATATTTTATGCTTTACTGGCAAATCTCTAACC